TTTTTTTTTTGAGACAAAGTCTCACTCCATTGCCCTGAGTAGAGTGCCATGGCATCAGCCTAGCTCATGGCAACCTCAAATCCCTGGGTTCAAGAGATCCTCCTGCCTCATCCTCCCAGAGAACTTGGATTACAGGTGTGAGCCACCATGCCCCGCCCCACTGAAGAATTTTAAACGGAGAAGTAACATGATCAGATTTGTGTACGAAGAAGACTCTCTTTGGTCTCTCAGTTGTTCAGCAAAGGTTTGCTTAAGACCTACTCTGTGCCCTCACTGTTCCAGCAGCAATGGGGAGAGCAGGAAACTGGCCAGAGGTGGGAGGGATGGTTACTAGGAGACTGCAGCCGTGAACCAGAGAGGAGGACTGAGGGGAGGAAGAAGGAATTCTTGGAAACATAGGTACCGATAAATGAAAGTCAAGACTTCAGAAAGGAGAGGAAGAATCAGGACACAGACAGCCCAGCAGACAGCGGGACTCTGGCAGGAAAGACAGGGGAGGCCTGGTTTGCAAGGAAGAGAGTGAGATCAGTCACGGCCATGTTGAGCTCACAGTATGGTGAGGAGCTACGAGTCTAGGCAGTTGTTAGAACTCTGGTTCCTCCATCTGTCCAGTCCCCAACTACTGCCTGAGCACCGGCTGTATGCATGGCTCCAGCACCCCAGGACAGTCCCTTCTGCACACGCTTCCCCCGCCCACCTGCGTGATGAATGGGGCCGCAATCAGTGTCCATGTCTTCTGTTGCCCGGGCTGCTGTGAACCAAACAAGGAAGCTTAAATGTCCAGTATGGGATTAACAAAGAAACCCCACAACTGGATTTCTTCTGGAGATGTGAAATCTCCATGACTACAGCAATGATGAGCTCTGATTGTTTTTCTCTGAGAAAATGAAAAGGAAATGAATAGGCACTAATGTAGAAATGTATCGCCGTCAGTAAGAGAAAATCTCCCACCCTTGAAGAGGAGGAAAAGGCAGGCCTGAGGCCAAGATGGCCTGAGGAGCACTACAAAAACTG